AAAATCCATTTAAGTTCGTAAAATATAATTGTGAATCGATTTAGATCGATTTAAAATCAATTTAAATTAATCTGGAACCATTTTTGTCAGCGTGAAGCAGTACATACTTGTATTTTGGACTGGATATTGACGACATGGTTTATGTTGGTTCTGTACACTTTTGGTACTTTTTAAGAAATCTATTTTTGGCCGACCGACCCTAAAATTTTTCTAAAGGCGCTTTCGGTGCCAATATATACTAACTTTGAAGGGGAGCGCGCGCCAAAAAAACGGCCTCTTTTTAGTGCTTTAGGAGAGCTCGGAAAATCAATTTAGTCGATTTCGTGGACTTAAAAAAAATCAACGTTTTTTCGAAATTTTTTGAAAATCCGCAATATTTTCACTCAATATTACCCTTTAAGTGAAAATTCGCTACTAGATACAAATTAGATTATAGATTATATTATGATTTTAATAATCGTCCTACTAAAAATGAGAAAAAGTTGGTTTCAATCTATTAATAATTGATTAAAAATTTTATTTTGAAATCCAATTAAAATTAATTATAATACATTTTAATCGATTATAAGCAATTCGTGATCCATCTATTTTTCGATACAATTATAATCATTTGTAATTGGTTATAAATGATTGTTTCTATCCCAGTTTCTAATTCGTGAAAAAACTGTGTCTTTTCCATACTTGCGCTCCCGTGGTAATCTTCGAATTGATGACTTAAGAATGAGTAACCATCCCGGTGTATTTTGCTATCCAATGCTTCTCTATTTAACTCTCACCCTAATCAAGTAAAATGTTGAGCCCTTTTTGCCCTCTTTCTTTGCAACTATGCAACCAAACTGAAAACTTTTTACGTGATGGTAATCTACCATTATGCAAAAGCTCGATCATTTTGGTTTCCAACACAAAAAAGACATTCTTACGGAAAATTTATAGTACATGTAGATAGATTTTGACGTTCTGTTTTCCTACCTATTTGAAATTGAGTTCTAATGTTACGATGTATTTATTTCTACGAGAAAAAAGCTCCTCCACAAAATTGATTGAGAATGTAGTCAAGCTACTGAAAAGAACACTAAGAAAGCTTACAGTAGATCGATAGATAGCAAAAAGCCCAAAACATAGAAAAAAAAGAAAGTAAAAAAACTCCTTGCCAATAGCGAGACGAGTATTTATGACTCAAACATTGCTAGATTGAGCAATTTTTTTTCCATATTATCTGAATTTGAAACACTTGCAACAAAATTTCAAACTTGATGTCCGATAAGATGAAAATGCGGCCACAGCCTACTCACAGCTATTATCGTTATACCTTCTGTTCGTTTTTGAACTTAATATTCTGAACCAAACTGGCAGTAAATAACTAAAAAATGCCACCTGGCTGAAACTGAAAAGTGGGTTTGATGAAACGAAACGCACTTAGCGACTGGCAAATGTATACAGCACACGCTCGTTTAGCAACAATGGCACGATCTGCCTCTCAATTGCAAGGATATCAATCAACAGAATCGCAATTTATGCGTGGAAGTGCTTCTAACCAAAAAGCTGAATTGGAGCACTCACATCAATGACCGCATCAAAAAATCAAACAAGCGTTTCCTTCCGCCTTAACCGCAAAGTTTTCGGTGACTCTAGGGCTCTACTGGGGAGTTTTTCTGCTACCAGTTTTACTTTGTGAAACTCATTACTCACCACTGAGACAAAACACACACACACACACACACACACACACACACACACACACACACACACACACACGTCAAGGCAAGAGAAGACACTAAAATGGATCTGTGGAAAACTTCACTTTCATCAAAACTAATTTCTGTAATTGCTCCTACTCAATGTTTTACGACTCCCTCTTTGTGTGCAATTGGATGGTCTCCTTTTTTTGTCCGAACTATGCGAAGCAAAAATAACATTTTTCAATTATAACACAAACAAAAGATTTAAAGTTTTTGCTTCGAAGAAAACGTGAATAGAAAAGTCAGATAAAAACTTATGAATAGAAAACAAGCCTTTAACATTTGGGTGAATTTTCAAAAGAAAAAGGGACTCAAAAACAAATGGTAGCACATTTGAGGAGTCATGTCAAAAAGATATTTTCAAGCGAGAACATGTGCAAAACGCAATTTGTCTCGAGTTTACACTCGCGTTTAAAGGGAATCCAAAGTAGCAAAAAAAACACAGTACCCGCGTGATCCTTTGTAAATCTTTTAGTTGTGCGAACTCGATCAAATTTTAAAATGTTTTTAATTTTGGGATGGCATGTCAAAATCATTTTCATCCCTTTCGAAATTTTTGTAAATCTAATACTTGATCGAAGTCTTTAAAAAATTAAAGTGTTTCTTTCGAACACCTCAAATCCAATTGAAACTTTTTCATCCTTGATCTAAAATTCAATTTACGTGAATATGATTATTTAGAATACGCTTTTCCGACCGTGTGTGAAATACATTCACCTAAATTCGGAAACTTTGTGATACGGGAACGTTTTCACTAAATTTTTTTTACCGATATAAGAGCTTTGACCGACTGCTACTTTGTTTTACTGGAGATATGCTTTTTGAGCTCGCTCAACTCAGGAATCTTTTATCTAATGAACTTCAAGCGAGTAATTTAATTATGATAGTTTTTATCATCTATTTTAGACCATCTTTTTTTAGGCTGGATCAAAGTCTCTGCATTGTTTTATCAGAAGGAAATTTCATTGATAAGGTACCTAATCGACTAACCACATTGTTTTTTTAACATCTAATTTCAGAAATAGTTTTCTATCGAAATCTGAGACGACTTTTTATGAGACGAGTTAAGGCGACATTTTTAAATGTTTTTCATATTTTTCAGACTACGCGTATGTCTGCTAGCAAGCAATAAGTCGTACTTAAAATTTTGTTCCATGACCTTGTTTTCTATCATAAATTTTGGTTTTTTGTCTAGACAAGATTAGCTCTTATAATAAATGTTTTAGTTAGGAACATTTCTTTTCAATTTTCTCTCTATATTATTTCCAGTTCCAATTTAAACAACTTATTGCAATTCAACAACAATCGGCGTTATGCTTATTGGTAACTGAAATTGTTAACTTTTGGACTTCTTTTCTTTTACAGACGGAAAATTTGGGTTAAAACGAAACACAAATTATTAGAAAGCAATTTGTTGTATCAAACTTAAACTGAAATAAAGGCCTGAAAACGGGCACCGCTACTAACCTTCTTCGAAAAACTTTTAAAAGAAATCACGAAGGAAAAACTAGCGGGGCAAGCGACAATATTTACTGCCTCCCCCATCCTGCACCCACTGCCCTTTTGTTAACTTTTTTTCAGTAAACTGATTGAAAATATATTTCGAACAAATGATTTATCCAAAGAAAGTAGCTTTTGACAAAATTTCTATCATCATTGAATGGTTATACTTGCCAAATAGCTTTTACCAGACAGAATTGTTTCATTTGCCAACTCAGAAAACAAATTCGAAATGGCTGTGGAGCAGGCCTCCATAGACCAAAAATGCTAATCATATGATTCAATAAACTAAGTCTTTGAAAAAACAACAATACTCATAAAAATTTCATACATTTTATAAAAATGGTGGCATAAAAATTTTCGATGAATCGTTTCCATTTTTTTGGCGCGAAAGTTGCGTATCATCGTAAAAAAAACTTTTGTCAAAAAATGCTAATCGATATATGGAAATTCTACAACTATCGTTATTTGATAGTGACAACATATTTCAAAAAATCCTATATTTCAAAATTTTCAGCCATCAATATATCACTTTTTTGTGAATAACATAGTCCTGAAAACACAAAACTTTTTTTCTCCGATTCTCTCGATAAGTTTTTCAAAAACTATTTAAACGCCTATTTTTCTATTGCAGGGCATGCTTATGCACGCTTTGATCAGTGCCTAGTCAATTAAAATTTCAAATCCTAAATAGTTTTCAACTTTAAAAGTTTTGTCGAAGTTTAAAAGTTTTATATCTTGCATTGTATCATTTCCTTATGACAACTCTGAGACAATTCAAGTCGTTTCCTACACCGTTAATGCAGACATTCCAAGCTTTGGTGACTTTAGCTTTGAGTGAACAAATTTTTTTGTTACTTGTGGTTGGTTACGATAAAAATCCAATCAATTCGAGAACTTAAACTTCTAAAATAGTTTTTTCCATTTTATGGAAAAATTCTAGTCAAACATTTTCGATAAATTAAAAGTCACTGATCGATAAAATGATGATCATTTTTGGTCAACCCGAGTAATTACTTCACTTCAATTTGGAACAATTTGAAGCGCAGATAATTGGCCACGCATAAATCATTTAATATACGTTCTCGGTATCATCAATAAAATCAATTGCCACTTTTCAAACTTCTAAAAACTTAATTAAAGTAATCGGAAGTTGACTTTATAAAATTTTTGAACTCAGAAAGATGATATCCTCAATGAGGTAAGAAAAAATTTCGTTGAAAAACTATCATTTTGATTGCTGAAAATTGATTGAATAAAAATTGACGCCAAGCACAAATATTTGGCACCATCTTCGAAAACCGGATCAATGAAATGAAAAAAATCTGATCGAGTCAAAAAAAGAAAAAAAATTCCTTCGGTATGGTTCCTGGCGCAAAGCAGTTGATCTGTCCAATTGAAATATCAAAGAATTTTAACATTAACATTTTTATTGAAATTATTAACATTTTTATACATTTTTAAAAAAAATCGATATGTGCGCAACTCTCATTTACGCATCATATCTCTTATCAGATTTCTATCAGATCGATGCCCTGGGTTGATTGACCGCCTTTTAATTTATACAAAACTGTAAATGGATTTATGAGCTGAAGTAATTTTTGGTCTCGAAATCTCTAAGTTTCTATCACTGTAGTAACAACCGTTTTGCCCTACTTCCAATTCCAATAAACGATACAGAAAACGAAAAAAATGAATCAACCAAAATAGAGCTCTCGAATAGAAAAGCTTAAAATCAAGAATATATTCGTCATTACTGAATCAATCGAAAAAAAAATTGATAACATAAAAGTGTCCAGATAATGTCGCAACTAGAAATTCAACTCAAATCTTTCATCAGATGAAAAAAGAAGTGTGAAGTTTAAAACCGCTGGTTTTCATATGACTGGTAGGTCGCCAATGACCTTGACTATGAGTTGCAGGTCTTTGCACGGAATGAATACTGAATGAGTTAAGATACAGGTAGGTACAGCTGTCACTCTCTACGAAGTTGAAATAATAGTTTAATAATTAGTTTGGAAGTTCTCTTGTTCCTGTTGTTTTTAGAAGGGCTTGATTTCCATCACATTCAAACAAAAATTAATTCTGAAAAGTTGCTTCACTGATGAAAGTGAACTGAAGCTCTGATAACAGCACCAATTTTGTCATCTTTGACTTCTATCTGAGACCAGTTTAGATTGGTCTGTCTTTCATATATTTCGTCACTCAAAGGCTCTCGGCGCCATATCCAATAGTCAGAGCCGGTTTTCTTTTCAATTTCTACCGTAAATTCTAGGTCATCATGCGATGCTATGAACTCAACTTTGACATGTAATTTGCTTGAGATCCTGCTGATCGACAATTGAAACAAAGAATAGCTGGTTACAATCCAATTGGAATCAAACGTTTCAGTCTCCAATGAACGGAAGGGAAATATCACCGAGACTGGATTTATATCTATGTCATTGACGTTCAAAAAATGATTATCATTCATCAAATCACTGCTTTCCCAAGTTAAAAGACTTCGATTGAATACTCGCATTGTCGGGGGTTCCTCGGGAGCCGGAAGATAAATTGTTCTCGTTTCTTGTGGGAAATTCGTTTGTGTTTCTTTTGACTCCAACTTAGGCACATTATCAATGGTTTGAGTTGAAGTGCTTTTGTTTTCGAAAACTTCAGTTAGAGTTGATGCTTCTGCGAAAGCGCCATTCTTCAATAGTTGGATGTTATTGAAACTTCCTTTGAAAAACCACTCAAACAATTCCTTTTTAGGGACTTGATGTCCTTCAACTTCATTTGCAAATTCTTTCAGCTCGTTCCAACTCGATTCATTCATTTTCTTTTCAATTTCAAGTTCCTCGAGCCTCTTGATGTCTCGATCGTGATCTTTTGCTTTAAATTTTAGCTTTAAAATTTCTTCTTCAAAGTCATGCATTATTTTTTTCCATTCATCTGAAAGATTTTCGACCTGTTCCTTGATTATCGAGCGAAGATTTCTAGTGAACGACACAACTTCGTGATCAAAATGTTTCTCACATTCAACGCATTTGGCACACATTATTTGTCTGCATGTTTTGCACCACAGGCTAACTGGATTGTTGAGATGTTCAAAACAGCAGAACCGATCCGCTGTCTTTTTCAACATTTTCTCTTCTTCAGCTTGTTTTAGTTCCTTCAAAAGCTCTCTCATTCCATACATTGGTTTCAAATCCGATATCTCAATTGTGTATTCATCTTTACAGAGAGCGCATTTCAGTCGGTTATCGGATTTTAAGGCATCCAAACACGTTTTTGGAGGGCCACAATAAGAATGACCACATGGAAGTTGTCGTGGGTCGTCCATGATGTCCGTGCAAATGGAACACTCGGGCAGTTTCGAACTCGATTGCATTTTCTTCGACACAACTAATCACAATTGGATGCTATCGGACCTTAAATTTTGTAAGAATAGCTAGAAACTCAGAGAAATCAAAAATAATTTTAATAACCAAACTGGATTAAAAAAGCCAAATGAGCTGTTAAGTTGCAAATAATGGTAAAACTGTATCGTTAAATAAAAGAATGTATAACTGTCAACTGACAGAATGGTAAAACTGTATCGTTAACTGAAAGAATGGTAAAACTGTATCGTTTTTCCCAATTTTGTATACAAATAACTAGATATATAGCCTTGTTATGCGTAATTTTGCACGGTTCGAATCAGCTAAGAGCATGGTATAAAAACTTGCTTCTCGTTGAATTGGTGACGCAGTGCTGCCTGAGCATAACAAAAACGAAACAGAATGAGTCGAGCACCTAGTGGAGCTCTAAATGACAGATGCAGTTCAAAGGAATTATATATTGAGTGTTTTTTAGTTTCAAATTTTGCATCTTTTTTCCTTTATATCTAAAGCTCTGATATTTCACTCAGTTGAACCTTACATAGAAATATAAACTTAAAAACTTAAGCTTGATCTTGAATTATACAAAAAGTGTACAAAACACAATTGCACTTAGCTTTCGAAGCTGTTTCACATTTCAGAAGAACGGAAACCATATTGAATAAACTATTTCACTGGAAAAACATCGCAAAATTTCCAGATGAAGTCTGCGTTCTAGTAATTATTACAAAAATATAAATCTTTTCACTACTCACTGGGCAAAATCATGGGCGTAATTTCAGCTTCCTGTTGCGAATTATTAAATTTGCGGTCTCACTAAAAACAACCCTGTCTGAGTCATTATACCTTCAAAAATGTTTTTTCTTGTTCTGAGTTATTAAGGACCATAGATGTTTTTTCTTGCAGTAAGTTATCTATGATTCAGTGATGAAAACCACAGAATCATTTAATGACCGCTACGTTTTTATCACTTGTGCAGCGGTAAACCCAAAACGTTTTGGTTCCGACTAAAAGAAAGCACAATCTAACAGGATTTTCTTATTACAGACTCGTGTTGCAGTCATTACGAGGCCAAACTGTGCATTTTGTTAATTGTAAGTGGATTCCGCAACAGGCAAAAATCAGATTTGTCACGGAATCCGCAAAATTTCCATTTTTCTTTGATCTTCTATGCTGTTTTCGATTCCACGGATAAAAAACTAAAACACTGTACTGCTCAAAATTGCACAAAAAACAGGCACTTTTGAGGCATCCGCAACAAAATGTGTAGAATCCTGAACAAGTTTGCGGAATCCAAGAACAAATGATAAAATATTTTTAGTAAAATTAAGCTGTCGCGGAATCCGCAACTGTATATAGAATCCGCAAATTGTAAGCGGAATCCGCAAGTCTCAAGCGGATTCCGCAACATACAAAAATCAGATTTGTCACGGAATCCGCAAAATTTCCATTTTTCTTTGATCTTCTATGCTGTTTTCAATTCCACGGATAAATAGCTAAAACACTGTACTGCTCAAAATTGCACCAAAAACAGGCACTTTTGAGGCATCCGCAACAAAATGTGTGGAATCCTGAACAAGTTTGCGGAATCCAAGAACAAATAATAAAATATTTTTAGTAAAATTAAGCTGTCGCGGAATCCGCAACTGTAAGTAGAATCTGCAAATTGCAAGCAGAATCCGCATAAATTTGTGGAATCCACTTACTTTTGCGGAATTCACATACATTTGCAGAACCCGGAACAACTACCTATATTTGCTCGTTGCGGAATCCGCAACAAAAATTAGGATAACGTCTCTGGTTTTTTTTGCCGATTAAAAAAAAGGAACTGCTACAAAAGAAACGTTCAAGTCGATGACAACCAGGAGCGGCCGGATTTAGGGGATGGGAGCGGGGGGCAGACGCCTCTCTTCTCAGGTATTCGACCCCCTGACGACACAAAGGGTCCCCCCTTTGAACTATTTTGAGATATCCATTTTGGCTGACAATCCCTTTTTCTAAAGGAGCCTTCGGCGCCAATATATACTAAATTTAAAGGGGGAGAGCGCGCCAAAAAACGTAATTTTTTGGTTAAAAATTTCCAAAAAGTGCCTAAAAACGCCTTTTTGGCCTTTTTTTTCAAAATGTTGCCTGCGGCGCTGAAATTTTGTTCACAACATGGTTTTTTAGTGCTTTGTGAGAGCTCCGAAAATCAATTTGCTCGACCTACAAAAAAATAGACAAAATTCGATTTTTTTTTTGGAAATCCGCAACAGCAACACCCCCCCCCCCCCCCTCTAGAAAATCCTAGATCCGCCCCTGGAGACCACCACGTGTTTGCCCGTTTCTTGCAGTTTATCTCCACAATCAATCGGCCAATCAGTCTTTTCTGTCATATAATATTTGTCAACGCCCTGCCGGCAGTTTCAAGACACTGAAATGTACGATTTTTTAAGCCCTGCCGGCAGTTCAAGGACACTGAAATGCACAATTTTTGCTTCAGTTGATTTATAATCATGGTCTGTTTTTTTTTATTAGATCCAGATATTTTGAATCAAATCTCAGGCAGTCGGGGTTATTTCACAATTATTGCTTTCAGTAAAATGAACCCCCATGATAAAAAAAATAACAGTGTCAGGGCTATGATTCGTTATTACAAATCTGGCGTGGGATATGGGAAACAGACAAAACATTTCATATGTTGTTTGATAAGTGAGAAATTGGCAAATGATTACTCTCAATGATAGCTCAAAGTTGACATGATCTTGATGCAGTGATAATCATTAGAAATTTTATAAATTTTTTCAGTGTCAGTTCTTCAGAACTTTTTATAATTTAGCATTAATTATGAAGGGTCTCATTTCAAAAAGAAAGTGATTGAAGTTAGTCATTAAAGGCACGTCAATTAACTGAAAGGAACTGCAAAAAAATAGATGTCACGAGACTCATTTTTCTGTTTTTTGATGTTTGCTTGTAACTTTGATGGCAAAAAGAAAAAGAATTAGATCATGCCCGCAATGCAATTCCACGGATAATTATTGGTTGTAATGTCATTATAAAGTAAAGTCTGTATCTATAAAAATACAAAAATAATCGATTATAATCTATCAAAAAGGGAATATAATCTTAGTTTTTGTTCATATCAATATAATCCATTATTATCGATTATAATCGATTATAATCGACTGAAAATGGATTATGATCATAATTTTTTTAAAATCATTACATTTTTTATAATAGGTTATACTCGATTATAATGTAGTTTTTGAGAAAAAGTTATGAATTTTGCAATTTTTTTCAAAATTATATCATTTCCTGTTTCGTGCAGTTGCTATGTATTACGTTTCATAAACTTTCACTTTTTACATTTATTTAGGTTTTCTCTACTTTTTCTTTAATTCGTAAACTCCATCGCTTCTTTTAACAAACCCCTCACCCAGTGTACCCTTCCCCCCCTTAAGTTTACCCCTCGTCACTTTATCCGCCCCCTCTCCCCACCCAGTCCCTATCTTAGTTTAACACCCCCCCGCTGTTTACTGAACGTGGGTGGGGTAAAAAAAATGGGGTGAGGGTGAAAAAAAACTTGGATGAGGGGGGAGGGGTTAAAATGGAGAATGGGGGTAAAAAGGTGACGTGTTGTTCACGTTGAGTAGCCCCCTCCCCCATGCCCGTTCAATGCTGAGTAAACGGGGGGAGGGGCAAGTTGTAACAAGGGGGGTTGGGGGTTGGGTTTGGGGGCAAACTTCAGTACACATAAGAAGTTGGGGGAGGGGGCTTGAACAAATGCGGATGGGAGGAAGAAAAGTGAGAGGGGGGGGGTATTTTGAGTAAGTTTAGATTGCGAGTAGGCTGTGAGTAACGCAGAAATGTTGCAGAAAGGTTTTTCCAAAAAAAATATAAAAAGTACAATCCATTTTAGTGGATTTTAATGGATTGATTTCTTATAAAAATAATCGATTATAATGACAATATAATCGATTTCGTGGTCAAAAATTGCAACAATAATGGATTATAACAACAATATTTTAAACACCAATTTTCCATTATAATCGACTATTATCCATGGAACTGCGGTGCAGGTAGGTTGACCTCTATTGAACAGAATTGTTTGTCATACACTTCCTTGAATTAAGTCGTCTACGCAAGTATGCTAGTTATACAAATTTTTATTAATTTTTGCTAAAATGATGCCATCGAATTGGAAAAAAAAATATGTTTTTTTGTTTTTTCGTCCTAAATGTCGGTGTATAGAATTTAAACTTTTACCATTTTTTGAATGCGACAAAAAATATAATGAAATAGTTTAGAAATTGCATTAAAAAAAACGTTTTTTTCCATGCACTAAAAAAGTTATACAAAAATAAACGTTCATCTCAACTAAAACTTTTATCATCCAAAAATTTATTTCCTTTTGTGTGCATAACGTTATCCTGGATGCACAAATGATGGATTATTTTTCAGTTAGCTACTTTCAAAATTCTATTTCTTTGTATTGCATATTTTTGTTTGCCTTGAACAATGCATGAGTAATAATTGTACATGCATTACTATCAATTTTTTGATGACTCTTTATTTCAAAAACCAGGGTCAATTTCCCTTGTGTTCGGTTGCAAACGAAACTCAAAAGTTTTGAGAGGAAGAAAAAACAATTTCTTGTTTTTTTGAAAAAATGGTAGTCAAACACTTTCAATATATAAAAAATCACTAATCAAACCCGCACCGAGCGCCCATGGATTATAATCAATTATATGTCTCTATCTATAAAATTACAAAATAATTGATTATTATCCATTAAAAATGGATTATAATCCTCATATTTTTAAAGCCCATATAATTCATTACAATCGATTATACAGGATTTTTCCGAGAGGTTAATTATGAAACTTCTCAAAGCTATCTCATTCCTGTTTAGTGCAATTGCTAAGCATTACTTTTCAAAAACGTTACATTTCACGTTAAAGTTTTTATAATTTTATGTCTCTACTTTTTCAATTCATCTCAACTTTTAATCCCCCTCCTTCATCCCCCCCCCGTTTAACACCTCTCCCCCTCCCTGCCAGGTTACCACAAGCGCCATCCGCCCCCTTATGATTGAACATTGGGGAATCATTTATCGGTAGACTTTAGAGGAGGGGTTCAATGATTGATCGCCCCCATTTTTACCCCCACCCCATTTTAGCCCCCTCCTCACATCATTTTAGCTCCCATTCCCCCAATTTACCCATCCCCTCGTCCCCCCCCCCCTAATTACGCCCTCCTCTTTAGTTGAGCAGGGGGTACAAAATTTGAGGGGGTGGCGTTGAGACCTGGAATTTATTAAGAGACATGGTGGCACACATTTTGCAAATATCTGGCGAAATTTTCAAAAACTTCTGCAAAATTGATCGAATCTAGTTTTAAAAATGAAATGGATTATAATCAATTATAATGGATTAAAATATACTTTTATTTCAAAAATAATAGATTATAATGGATTATCTTGGCAAAAACAATCAATTTCCATGCCAAAAATAATAGATTATAATTGATTATAATGAATTATAATGGATTTTTTCAAAAATATTTGATTATAATGGCAATATAATCAATTTTGTTGTCTGAATTTTTCATCTTTCATGGATTATAATAGATTATTTTTTCTCGGGAATCCATTATAATCGATTACAATCTATGGGCGCTCGGTGTGGCTGTCCTGCATGCAATACGTTATTGTGACATTGCAAAAAAGAACAATCCGTTTGTTCAACTGTCTCGGAGGAGAAGAGTAGCTAAGGAATGCACACACACACACACACACACACACACACACACACACACACACACACACATACTCACTACACACAAAAAAACACAAACCACACATACGCACTACGCACAAAGTCAACACACAAACAAACATTCTCCAGATATATTTATAAAGTACGTAGATATCTTTCGACGTAGTTTATTTCATCATCTCGCAATCTTTTGCAGATTTTTTGCAATATCTTTTTTATTGAGAAAAGCTATTTAGCTCTGATCTTACAAAGTTTTTCTAAGATATTAAACTCATTTCTAATATTGCTTGAGAAAGTTATTTAGCTACTGAAGAGCAAATTGATACGACATTTCTAGATCAATAGTCGACCAGAAAAACCCCCACAAAGTTGACTTGTCATAAAAAGGACTAATGAGGAGTCGAAAAGTTTTTCCGATAGTAAGATAATGATTATCATAATCATGGCAAAGTTTCAGCACCTTATTTCTTAAAAGAGTCAAAAGTGCTGCCTAACGAGTTTTCTTCGATGAACAAATGAGATTTCGTCTTTCTGGAAGTGGATGAGCTTTTTGGTTTCTTTCAGGGTGAGGAAAAGAGCGTTCCATAACGTAGAACCAGCTATAGAGAAAAGAACCTTGAACTCAATACTGCTCAAGTCCAGAATGGCAAGGTTCGACGAACCTTCTTGGCTTACAGGGTTTTGATTTTTTCAGGTACGCTCGAAGGGTAAAATGAAGGACCAGGTTTTAAACTTGATCAGGCTTAATAGAAAAAATGGCGAGTAACAAAAGCTGTTTGACATGAGTCTGGAAAATGAGCAAGAAAAAAGTTTCAACTTGATTGAACCTATTGATGTTTTGACGAGTCGCTTTTGTTTATATCAAAGCAGCAGCTATTTCATTAACCAACTCTCGAGGGAACAAAATTTTTCAAAAGTATTTTGAAGCTGATTAAGTATCTCTTGCAACAATAATCATTTTTACAGACCAAGGTAGCCTCAAATGCTAATAACTGTTGAGTTTATCTGGGTCACAAGTTTTAGTATCCCTGGTGTCGAAACAGCTCAAGGCATAGACTTATTAGAAAAACTCTCTTTTTCCAGCGTGGATTTTCAGTGAAAACTCTTTTAACCAGTCAGATCTACTCACTTAAGTGAACCTGCAAGTCAGAAAAACTGATAATCAATGTAATCTTTTTGAAGTACCTGATTGAACTGGTATCCGCTGAAGAAGCTCATTCTGTGATACATATTGTGACTCAAACCTTGTTAGATTCGGCAACGAGTTACATACAAATCTGAGTTTAAAGCTGTTTGCAAAAACATCACATCCTATTTAATTTGCGTATAGAAAACCCAAATGGTCTTTCGTGAACCGGTTAGTTAGATATAAAGTTAATGTGCTTTGAACATCGCAACCCGCATCAAAAGTTTTCATCATTCTCGAAATCTTTTCGAATGTTGTAAACTGAAATCAAATATTTTCAAAGTACTCAAAACGTGACTGACTAAAATTGCAATCGCTGCCATCAAGGAGTGTTTTCAACAAAAAAAAACGACAAAATACTCTGCATTTCAATCTCGCTCAATCCAGGAGTGTTTCATATAGAAAGCTTCAATTGAGTCGAGAAATTGGTTTATAATAAGTTGAAATCAGTTCCAGGACTTCATTTTGCTCGGTTGAAACAAATTCTGCGCTTCGCTGTATCATAAGCAAACATTTTTTAAAAACAAACTACCTATTTGAGAAATATCATGAATTTGAAAAAAAGTCTTCTAAAAGTTTTCTTCATCGCAAACTATATGCAACGAGTTCAACCGGTGATGTTAAAATTTGATCCCAGACGCTGTTTACCAATGAAAATTTTATGTTTCTTCCTCCGGGACCGAACTATCTCAGAACAAGACTAGGTTTTATTAGCTTATTTGGTACTATAAATGTTAAAACTGAAATAGTCATGAAAAAAACACTATTAATTACAATAATTTGAATGTAAAATGAATTGAAGTATTATAATTGATATTGATCATGAAAAATTGCTCCCAAACAAATGAGTCTATCAAATAAACTTACTAAAACTTATATATGCTTTGTATGGTTATACTAGATTGTTTTATACCAAACAAAACTTGTCAATTTGCCAAATAGCGGTAATGGTAATTGAACAGAGCTCTATCAGAGGTTTGACTGCATTGATAGTCAATAGGAATTTCTTTTTATTCAATTTAACTACACTCAATTATTTCTGACAAACCGTTATTCTGTCAATGTTTTGACGCTCGCAAAAAATCAATGTCTTGTCGAAATATTTTGATCAACCTTACAATCCCTTCCTCCTAATAGATTTTTTGGGTATAAAATCACGGGCGGATTGGGGCGGGGAGGGGCTTTGGAGGCGGACGCCTTCCCTCCGGGGTTCGACCCCTTCACCCCCTAAGGGTTCCCCTTTGGTACTACTTTACGACATCCATTTTTGGTCAGGGCATTGTACAGTTGGTGCAAGTTTATTTACGAACCCCAAAATTTTGCTTTCGGCGTTTCTTCAAGGAGCAAACTGAAAAACTTGATGATAAAATTGCTCATATCCACACACATTGCCACTAATTGAAACATTGTAGCGTTTTAATGAATCATGGTGTTCTTCAGATTTTGATTACCTAATTTTTGAAACAAGGGAAAGGAGCAACAAAGGAGCCCAACCGCTCATCACGGAGAATCGCTGCTGTGCCTTTGCTTAAGAATTACATGGATTTTTTTGGCTATTTGTCTGCGCTGGTTAACGTTGCTTCACCCTCAAGCAATGAGCACGGATCATGGTGGACCTCGTACATCTGATCTTTTGAGTGAGAGACGTAACTACTTCATCACCGCTCCCCCAAAGTTTTATTTGAAGTCTAGAAAGTCTGCAGCAGTTCATTTTATGAGGCGGCTCAAAAACCATTATGAGGCAATAAAAAATGGCACAAAATCATCCGTTCTGATTTTTTTGCGTCTTTTACAATTTGCTTAAATTTTTTTTAAACAATTTGAAAAAATTTTTTGTTTTAACAATTAATAAACAGTAAAGTAGTGATTAGTGGGGAATAAATTTTGCGAGAGGTCAATTTTCTTAAGATTTCTTAAGGTCCTCTAAATGGTTTTAAAATGCAGGCACTTTATGTAATAATTGACCTGCGTATCGGAACTTTATCGTAACAATTCGGGGAGATGGCTCATTTTGATCTGCATGCGCATCTACCAGAGTCTCATAGAGGACCTTTTTGAGGCAAAAAGCGGCAAATGTGTGCCCCAAATAGAGACCCACTTAGGTGCGAGAGAAGTTTAGTCATGTAATGTTGCTATCGATGGACCAAATTGCTAATTCTTTTGCACTCAGTTATAAGATGTTTACTCTGTTTTGGAAATATTAGATTTTTGAAAGTTCGTATCTTTGCAATGGGTCCATAACTTGTTGGAGAAAGTATAAAAAGACAATGAGCAGGGTTTGCGAGAAGAGACCGAAAAAGTAACTTTTTGTTTAAGAAAGTTTAAACGTCTAAAAGTTCTAAGAATGACCAAAAATTTTAAGGCCACAAAATTGGCATCGAAAGCGTAGGTACATAAAATTGTCAAAAAAAAAAACATTTTTTTTTCTTCAATGTCGCAGTGCCGTGATTTCATGTAATTCGCCAAAATGCCATAATCTATAGAAGAGCTTAACTTCTCTTGTCTCGGAGTTTCTAATTTTTTATAACTAAAGTAAAAAAAGTTCTCACACAGTTTCAATGAAAACGAAACAAAAGACGAGAAACTCGAAGCGTTCAAAATAAAGCCAAAATTTCGATATTTTAAAAAACTAATTCATGCTTTAATGAGGCAGTTCAGCATTTCTTTTAATCTAGTTTTCCTTATAATGTGAGCTCATTTTAGATATTGTTACTAAGAAAACCTAGTAGGAAATTTTTTTAATCATTCATAGTACCATTTTTTGACTCTCTCGCAGGCAATTTAGTTTGACTTTTTCATAGTTAGAATTCATTTTATTCAGTTCGTTAGGTAATGGTTGCAATTTACAATATTTCAAACAAATTACAATATCATACAGTTTACAGATACGACACAAATTATATTAGATTTACTATATTTGTACCAATCTTTTTTGGACCGCTGAGATTGGGTGAAAAAGTATTCGGTCTGATGTTTATTGTCAGCTCCTTCGAAGTTGTTCAAGTTAACCGCTTTTGAGATCATGAAAACTAATGGAAGCGCGAATTATAGACCTCCCCTCCGAATCCAGGACTTTGAGTTCATGCCAACTCACTTCTGTCGTTCTTTTGTGCGTGTAGTCCTTCAGTTCTTTGTTGCGCCAAATCCAATACGATTCATTGTGCGGCTTCGCAAATTCCACTGTGAAGTTTGTTTCTTTGTTTGACCCCCAAAAAACAATTTCGACGTGCAGCTTGTTCAAGTTTCTGCTGATTGAGATACAAAACATGCAAAATCCAGTGACAATTGCACTGGAACGCATAGGTTCAGATTGATATGGAGCGTAAGGAAAACACACGACGACTGGATTGATTTTAATGGCCGATGAGTTCAAAAAATGATCATCATACATCAAACTCGTTCTTTTCCAGACAATATGCTCTGGATCAAATTGTCGCATTGTTGGAGAAGAGGTCACGTCGGTTTTTGCCTGAAAAGATAAGCCAGAGGTGTTTTCTGTTGAAGTGGACGCGTCAGCGAAAACTCTTTGTTCAATCATTTTATTTGTCTTGAAGTTTCCTCGGAAAAACCATTCTATCAGTTCATTTTCTGGCATGTTTTTGGCTTTTTTGCTTTGTTTTTCACTTAAAAAGTTTTGTAGCTCGTTCCATTTCTTGTTATTCAGTTTCTTATCACACTCCAGTTCTTCGAGATTTTTCAGGTCCTGGTCGTAATGTTTTATCCTGAGCTTCATTTTCATAATTTCCGATTCAACCGCTCGCATGTGATTTTCTCTTTCATATGTGCGTTTTGCAACCTGTTCCTGGAGTATTTTCTTCAGATTTTGGTTGAACGACACAAACTGGTGGTCCAGATGCTTGTCACAATCCACGCAGTTGCCACACATTGTTTCTTGGCATGTCTTGCACCATAAGGTAATCGGAAATTTGGGGTGGTCCAAGCAGTAGAAACCATCTGATGATGTCTTCTTCGAAGTCACTGCTTCGGCGGTTTGCTTTAATTCCTTTAGCACCTCCCGAATTCCATACATTGGTTTCAAACTATGTATGACCATTTTGTGTTCAATTTTGCACATTGCGCACAACAGTCGATCGTTCGAGTTCAAGATAAGCAAGCATTTTTTGGGGGGACCACAATAAGAATGTCCACATGGAAGTTGACGTGGGTCGTCCATCACCTGTCTGCATATTGGGCACTGAGGCAACTTTGAACTGGATAGCATCTTCTGTTGAATAAACACTTATCAAGAATTGTAAAAGAAGTAAAATTTGAACTAAGAACAAATGGTTGCTGCGCGAGTACAACAGAATGTTCCGACCACCATTTCCTAAGTTAGATAATTCAAAATAAAAATAATTATTTGGAATTTTAAAAAAAATTCCCAAAAATGTGTGAGTTTTTTTTCTAACTTTTAATTATTAGTATTTTTGTATAGTTAAATGCACCAAACTTGGAAAAAATGAAAATTGACATGTAGTAATGACTAACATAATGTGCGCTGGAAATAAAAATGCAATGAATTTGGTTAGAGGTCGTCGATGAATTTTAGTTCGAAACACGGAAAAAAACACCATATTTTTTCGGCAGAGCGACAAATTTTCAGACGAATCATGTTAATATGATACTACAATTGACGAGGTACCTGAAAAACTTTGAGGCAACCTTTTCTTTTGAATACACACACTGCGTCAAAAAAAGTTAAGAAAATACCCCCGCTCATAGTTTTTTCCCTTCAATTCGCGAGTGGTCGTATCAAAAACCTTCTCAAATTAGTCTTGAGTTATCTAGTTGGCTTTTAACCAGTAAAACTTGTAGTGCGAAAAAAAATAAGCTCAACGCTCTCCTTGCAGGTAATGTAAATTATAAGATTACGTAAAGACTGCCTTTTACCACAATCTTGTTCCCATTTTTGAAAAAAGTGACGCAATGTTCGGGCTCGTTTATTTTTCCGGACAATTTTAGACGTTATAACTAACAAAGTTCTTTGCACAGTTTAATAAATTTAGAACGATATCGATGCTTTAATCTCAAATAAAAGAACAACTTTTGTGGAGTTTTTCCTATCAGGTTGTTTTGGTTTGAAAAGCTCCAATGGGGTCAATTTTTGAGTAAACGATTCGCGCAAAACATTCTAGTTTCTTTTAACGCGCATTGTTGGCCGGCAAAATAATCCGGATCAACATCTAATTCAAAATGATTTGAGGTTAACTAATTGATTTCAAAATTTCGTAAGTAGAGTCAAAGTTAATCACTTTGCAATGTTACGTTTCGTGAGGCTATGGCATGTTGTGAAAACTCTTGGGTTTTTTCACCGAAAACTCGTAATATAACAGAAGTTTGAGGATTCTGGCACTTTGCAGTTTTTTTGCTTAAGTTATTTGGCTTGCCTAGTAAAGATTTTAAGACAGGGCTTTCTGGTCGCTCAAAAAACGTATGCTTTCTCAATCAAATAATTAGGCGGAAGTTTAAAAAATGACTCATAAATTGATATTAATTTTTGAAAAATGAACCCAGGTCAAAAAAAAAATAATTTTTACCAATGAAAATAAACCGGAAAAACAGAACTAGAACAAATATTGTTTTTAGTTTTAGATGGTCAGAGAAAAGTAAGAAAAGACATATAAATGATTTTCTTGTATAACGATTAAAATCGTAACAAGTTTCAGTGAAAATAAAATGTTACCTCACAAAAATAAAAACAAGTCAAGACCAAACTATGAAGTTACAGACCATTTTCATGAATCTGGTCCTCTTTGTTTCTGTCAATACGTTTTAGTTATACTGTCACTACGGCCAGACAAGCTGCACATTTAATCTAACAAAATGTGATTTAACAAAAGCTGTCGCTGTGCTTAAAGCACAAAAGGTACCAAACTTTTTCACTTTTTTGAAATAAACAAATTATACTTTGTTTTTCGTTGACGAACATACAATGAAAAAATACCTGAAAAATTTAAGTCCATTACCAGAAATTTAGGTTAAATTTTAAAGTGACGGGCAAAATTACTATCATTTTTAGGTTATTTTCCATCTGTTTTTTTTTTCATGAAAGCCAGAATAAAACTCAAACAAGACTTCTCGTATATCAAGGCAAAGCCCTGATTGTTCCAACTGCACTCTAATTTTTTTTCCATTTTGTGAGAGTGTATTTTTAGCGTCTCGTTTCATGATAACCCGACCAAGTGACTTGCTTGATTTCAATTTGAATTTTGGAAGGTTTAATCCGCTGCTTACGCGTGTTGTAATAAACCAATGGGTCGCTCGTTAATTTTACCAAATTGGCTAAATTAGCATTGTTCTACACCGCAATAACTTAACGAAAAAGGATCACAGGTAAAAAGTATTTCAATGCTCCAGACCACAAATTATTTTGAATGGTTCAACTTCTGTGCTCGAAAAAGAATCGCTTGGCGAATTGATTGATGCGCCATACTTACAACAAATAGTGATTTCAGAATTAAATATACTTTTAGGGACTTGCAAAAGCATCATTGGTGAAATCAGTTGCTGCTGCTCAGAACTACTAAGTCTTTGAAGTCAACGCTAGCCAATATCACTCTCAGAAGCACACCATTGCTCAATTGAAGGACGGATTGATTGCCTAGAAAATGATGAATGATGAAAGCAAGACTAAAGTTTTGGTTGACGATGCAGATGTTTATTTTTGCCGATGACTCGAACTTCATTCAATCTATTTGAACTTTTGCTCAAACATCACACAAACCTAATCTTTTAATTGAGGCTAATGAAAAAGCATTTCAGGGTGTGTCAGTATTTTGTTTTAAAAAATTCAGCCTGCGTAAACATCGAATTCTTGAAGTTGAGACATTAATTTATAAACACATCACAAAACGCAAAATAGTTAACAGAGAGATTATTTCAAATGTAGCGGAGAAGAAAATTTTCCTCTACGCTTTAAAAGCGCTGTAGGTTTTCCTAAAAAATAAAACATATTGAGATATTTTTCAATTTTGCTTCTGTTTTCAAACAGAGATAAGCGAAGTTTACGAGGATTTAAGAGAGCAATATGAAAATAAATTAAATTCACGATACAAAGAAAATGAAAAACAGAATTGAAATTAAAACTATACGGGCACGTGAAACGTTAGTGAGGAGAACTATACAAGCACGTAGAAAATTAACGAATTGTGCATAATTGACAGCAGTTGACTTGTCTTTGAAAAAAATTATCAAGCAAAAAAAATTCAGAAAAAAAACTACAAAAGATTGTATTAAGCGTCATCAATACTGGTAAAAAACACCATTTGACTTGTACACTCAAGCGGAGCGTAGTGCGACAGTACGATGCAATTTTTTTAAACATAAGTAGCAAAAATTGCTTTTTGGTGACCCATTTTCAACTTGACGGTTCTACTTTCGGGACACTTTGAGAAGAGCAGATGCAGCAAAGGCAATATAATAACATATTCTTCGATATTTGATCAAAATGCTTGTTAACCGAGAAAAAATTATTTGCTTCACATAGCAGTAATAATAATTAATATCCGATTAGAGAAAACTTTCGACCCAAGTTTTTTCGCGATTTTTGAAAAGCCCAATTTATTACAATTTGGGTGAAAAAGTCCCAATTTACTACTTGCAAAGTTAGTTTGATTCTTTTTAGTGTATCAGGCCAAATCAGTTCTCAAATTGAACCACATTTTTATAATCTAATCGACCATGGCAGCATGTTAGTAAATATTTGTCCAGACTGTTGAATCGAACTGGCAAAAAAATTCTCATCGGTCATGAAATGATAGATCGCAGTTCAAATTAGTAATCTGATTTCGTGCAACTCATCGAACTCAACTTGGTTGCAAAAATCGTAGAGGAGATCCATAATCTTATTTAAAACAAAAAGTTTTCATTAGTTTATTTTTCTTCTTGATCATTAACTTGGGCTCTCAAGAGAGCCAAATTACAAGCGTCACAAACGAAAAAAAAATTGTTTTAGATAGCACAAAATGAAGCATTTTTGTATCAAATCTGATTCTAAAATTTCTAATCTTTTCAATTTTGGGTTTGTTTGAGATAATAATTTAGGACGAAATATAAGATGATAATGTTAATTGTGGTGGTAATTTTTTATTTGCGAGAAATTAAGTCGTCAATGTAGGAAGTCGTCAAAGTAGGGAGTAGTTTGCTTGTTTTGGTTGATGCCAGAAATAATTGCAGCACTTATTTTTTTAAGATTTAATGACTGAAATTTTACATCATTAATTCTTTTGACTTCTCATAAAACCTGTTTTTTTTTTTTTAAATTGACACTGCAAGATTTTTTTCTGGTTTTCGGTATTCTTGTAATAAATCATCTTAATTTACATAAGCTCTGCTGTATAATTCTAGCTTCTTACATCCTTACTCGGTTGTTGTACAGGAAAAAGGGTCGATCAATACATCACAAACTTTAAGTCTGTAATCATTAATTGTCAAAGTGAAAACAAGATTTTGGCAATTCAAAAATTTGTTCCGGAACAATTTGCAGGATTAATAACTAAAATTTTGTACAAAAACAGATTTAAAAAAAGCACTTCATAATTGCTATCAAACTATTCAACGGAAAAATGAGAAAAAAAATGTTTGTTTGCAAAATTGAAGTTTTTCAATGTGAATTCTAACTTGATAGGATTGATTTCCAAGAAACTATTAAAAAATTGCTGAGCAATTTGACAAATTCATTTTACCGCACCCATAACTTTACAAAAAATGATCACAGGTAAAGTATTTCTTAAATGCTTAGGACAACAATATTTTTCAGATGATAGAATAAATTCCATAAAAAATTGTTAGTTAAAAAATTGCTATTTGAGTTAACCATCCCGATCATAAATATTGTGGCACTTCATTCGAAAGTAGGAAAAAATAATGAAACTGAGATTTAAGCACGAGAGCAATGTGATTTACAAAAGATCGAAATAAATGTTAGAAGCAGAACTTTATCTTTTCAGGTATACAGTGCTGATTTAAATTAACCGGACAAAACGCTTTAAACTTGAAATTTAAAACCCGTTTTTCTCAAATTGGGTTGAGTTTAGGTGAAAACTTATGAATACAAAACTTGCATAAAATTTTAGCAAAATTAATATGGTGTAATTTGTTTTGCGAAATTCGGGCCCAAAATTTTACCCCAAAAATGGGTCATTTTGGCTTTTCTTAGTTAACCAGAAATTACGCTAAAAATACCCAGTCGATCACAGACATAATTATATCAAAGGGAGCCTCTTACGTAGCCCAACAAACTTTAAAAAGGGTATAATCTCCAAAATGTTGTATAAATTAATTTATTTTTGTTTGATAGACAAAAAAGGTCGTTTTTACTATATAAAATACCAACTATTTATTTAAAAACAATTTTTAAACGGTTTGCAATTTTTTTTGGAGAGTATACCCTTCTTAAAGTTTGTTGGGCTACCTAAGGAGATCACTTTGATATAGTAATGGCTGTGATCGACTGGATATTTTTGGCGTAATTTTTGATTAACCAAGAAAAGCCAAAATGACCCATTTGTTGGGTAAATTTTTGGGCCCGAATTTCGCAAAACAAATTGCACCCTATTAATTCTGCTTAAATTCTAGCAAGTTTTGTCCTCTTAAGTTTTCACTTGAACTCAACCCAATTTGAGAAAAATGGGTTTTAAATTTCAAGTTTAACGCGTTTTGTCCGGTTAATTTAAATCAGCACTCTACAATCAAGACAGTTTGTTTAATACAAACTTTCAGTTTAACTGCGTAGAAATTTTTTCAACTTGGATTTAAAATTTTAACGTTTATTTTGACTAAGAGACGGAACTGAATGCGAACAAGATCAGACATATATGACCCATAAGTATGATGATAAATTAGACTGTGCAAACAAAATGTTATAGAAACCGCATCGGAAACTTTACTTTTCAAAAAGAGGCCTCGAGAAAACATTGCAGCCAGATTTATAAGGTCTAGACCTGCACTGAGTTTCCGTGAGTATTCATTAAAATATATGAGTTTCATTGTCAGTGTCTATTAAAATGAAAAATAATTTAAATTTGATGATTTAAAATGGATTTTTTTGCTTAAATTTTTTTTATTGACAATAAACGTTATATTAAAACAAAGCAATAAAACCCAATGGAAACCAATTGCAACCCAATTTTATATTTTTTATCACTTCACTCAGATGCGGGATCAGAACTTTTTTGCAACAATTTGTCTTGTACGTTGAAAAATCAAATGAAAAAAAAAACAATTTTAAGGGATTATACTATATAATTTCTCAAGTTTTTCAATGTGAATTCTAACTTGATAGGATTGATTTCCAAGAAACTATTAAAAAATTGCTGAGCAATTTGACAAATTCATATTACCGCACCCATAACTTTACAAAAAATGATCACAGGTAAAGTATTTTTTAAATGCTTAGGACAACAATATTTTTCAGATGATAGAATAAATTCCAAAAAAAATTGTTGGTTAAAAAATTGCTATTTGAGTTAACCATCCCGATCATAAATATTGTGGCACTTCATTCGAAAGTAGGAAAAAATAATGAAACTGAGATTTAAGCACGAGAGCAATGTGATTTACAAAAGATCGAAATAAATGTTAGAAGCAGAACTTTATCTTTTCAGGTATACAGTGCTGATTTAAATTAACCGGACAAAACGCGTT